CATTCTTTTAATAGCAGTCTAATTTGGACAATGTTTTTACTAAACACCTATTAACCAAAAGTTAAGCATCAAGAAGATGGTGTTGGAATCGATTGAAACTTAGTATGAACATAATGACCATAGTAATAAGTGATTATCCTATCCAAAAGCAAAGGGACAATTTTTTGGAACAACAGTACAATTTAAAGAAACTTTACTATTATATAGGGCTACCTGCTCGGATACTTGTGGCAATACAGTTGGGCATGAAGGAATACTGTGGACAATCTATTACATAATAGCCTGCAGGCACTGTATGCTATTATTCCTCAGTGCATTTTCTCTAGATATTTCAACGGTCATTTTAGCCCTCATATTTACAGGTGGCGGAAGCTAGCGTTCCACAAATGCTCAATGGACAATAAATCTGGAGATCGGGATGTGACAACGTGCTGAAGACATTCCTGAGATACTAGCTGTGTGCAGCGGAATATTATCTTGTTATAAAACAGCTGTTTGCAACCCTATTACGAAAAGTAACACGAGTGTGAGGATTTCCTGAACGCATGCACCATTATTCTGAATGTCCAATTCTCGTATGCGTTTTCAGACTGGTACGCTAGCAGTGTTGGCAGTGTGCTGCAGAACAGCAAATGCAAGATTGAAATGCTCATCGATAATCGCTCTCAAACGCTGCGGTTATCCATTCCCAAACCAGGATTAAGACGATGTTGGGTGCTAATGGCAGGATGTGTAGTGGTCGTCACTCATACAAACTTTCCTCTTCTAGCTGTCTGCCAATATTAAGGAAAAGCAAGCTGGATAAAAATGTTTTCTATTACAGGATAAAAGATGGATTTAAAAAAAAAAACAATGAAAAAATAAGATTAAGTTGGTAGATGTCTACATACGGAAATCCAATATTGCTAAAATACCAGTAAATGAATTGAAAACAAAGTTGCAATTTTATTCGCTGAGCAAAGAATTGCGTTGACACGGTTACCTTTTAGTTAGCTTTGTACTTGTCCTGCTAAATCTTTAAAAATGCCATCATATCGAGAAGAGAATACACCAAATTGATTAAGTCTTTAAATCTTGTAGTACTTAAGTGCTCAATGTGGAATAAATTTTCATTTGTGCTGGATGAAAAAAAGAAACAATGTTCTTAGCAAAATACTTTTTAGCTATTACAGTATATTTATCGGCAATTGTTAAAAATGGTTTAAGACACGTATGTCAAAATGAACAAGGATCGGCTTAGAACTCGCACACTAAGAATATGCACTATTTCCATCAGCTCGTGTTTTATAAACTCTACCTGACACAAAGACGAAGTTTAATGAAGTTTGTTCTAGTTTTGTAGCTGAAGTTTTGCATCCTTTTAATAATGTTGGAGTAGGATTTCAGAAAGTGATGTAAGAAGCCATAGACATCAAGAACCTTTCCTGCTAGGGAAACTTGATGCAAAGATGCGAATTTCTCGCAGTAAAACGCTATGACTGAGAATCAAAATAATTGCCCAAAACGTATATAGCTTTTTAAGAAAATGTTAGTGTTATGTTTTTTAACAAGACAAGGGGTGCTCGGGGTGCAGCTACATCCCCGTTCTGAGGGATTTTCCGAATAAAGCCACTTACCTCAGGTAGTAAAAGCTTTTAAGACGTATTAGAGAGATTGGGGCCGAAGTTTTCATCTCTAAAACATGAACGTCGAGCGCCGCTTACAAGATAACGGAGCTCGACGTTCACGTTTTTGCGTTGGAAACCGGCCGCAATCTCGCTATTGTTTCCTTTCTTCCCCCCTCTAAAGATTTCTGGATCCGCTATGGTAGACATGTATTGATTGTCTTGGCTTGGGATAACTGTTAACTACAGGATAATTTTTCATAAATAACGGAAATTCCGTCCAAGAGAACTAAAAAGAAAAACTATAAGATCTCATGTATTTTAGTTTGTCTTTGCCCTGTGGACACTAAGAGGGTCTTTCTTAATTATACCCGTCCGAGTTCGGCCAGGCCCAGTGATCGAGTTCCTAAAATCAACGTTGTGATACCGGATCGGCATTTGCAAATGTTCCTGAACTAAACACTTTTTTGACATCAGAGTACCGAAGAGCTACAAAAGGAACCTACTTTTCGCGTTGTTCATTCCGCATCAAGTGTTACACTACAATTAATTAATCAATATTCTAATTTATTTAAAATTACTAGTCTTAATATATATTTTAATTCCATCGTATTTTAATATTCTATCCAATAATTGAATTGCGCTATTTATGAATTAAAATGTTATTAATTCACTATTTTGCAGTGAAATATTTAGAAATCAAAATTCAGTAATTAGTTGAGTTACTCGTATGAAATATTTATTGTAAATATCCATTGTGAAAACCGCAATGTATATTTGTATATATTTAATAAGTCTGATAAAAGTATAATTTTCATACTGTACAGTAGATCCCCCTATAACACTGTAGATAATTCCGTGTTATATGAATTCCATGTTGTACGAGTCACTTAGATTTTACAAATACGTGTGCCAGGCTGTGAACGGCTTTGTAAAATCTAAGTGACTCGTACAACATGGAATTCATATAATACGGAATTATCCACAGTGTTATAGGGGTGTTTACTGTACTTTTATCAGACATTACTAACGTGTACAGTACACATCTATACACGCTAGTAAGACACCCGATGATCATTACACTCCTCTATCGTCATTTTACGAAGTGGATTTGACATCACATCTCTTAATTCTGTAGCTATATCGCTCAACAGTTTATTAATAGTTTATTAAATAAGTAAAAAAATAGAATCGAAAAAATATTTAATCAAAACAATTGAAATCTTTTTCCTTTCAACAACAGAAAATAACGACTCCGTATTGAATTTCAGAACAACAAACTTTCAAGGAGATTGAATGACACATCCCGAAAACGTTTCAGTATAAACTCTTTTATTTTTTAGGGGCATCTTGAAGAACATTTGATGATCTGAAAAATATTTTATCTGATTTCTTGATAATACTTTTCTACGTAGTTTTATTATAAAAATATACAGTATATTTAGTACAATAAATAGTTATTACGAAGTCATGCTACTAAATTATCTTTTAAATATAGGGCCGCGTATCGTTATTTATTCCTAGTCTTAAATCCCCATTGAGTTGTTTTGTGTTATTACTTCTCCATTTTAATAAATGGTTTCTCCCACTTGACGTCATCGCATTCTTTTTTTAGTGTTTTCTTCACGCGAACAAACAATATCATTAATATTGAAGCGATGGACTTTCTCCCGATCGTAACATCCTTTTATAATTACTTTTTCCTACTTTAAACAAATTGAACTGTGAAGAAAATAATTGTAAAGTTTTTAAAATCGTATACAGTACCTTAATTTGGTATTTCTTCCTCGAAAAACTTCTGTGGCTTTCTAATGTCTCATTTTCCATACAGTTCCAAAGTGAATTGCGATTACAAGAATCTTAACAAAGTTAAGTGCATTTTACATAATTATGAATAAATTTGGAAATGATAATATTCAGAAAATTCTGACCCCTTTATTGCCCATGCCGCATATACAAAACAGTGTTGCAAGGGGCTGGTCTTCATTCGAGTTTTTGAGGACATCTGCAACATGGGTTCAGTCCCCTTGCAACGTTGTTTTCTATATTTGGCACGGATAATAGGATGGGTGGGCCGAAGAGGGTCGGAATTTCAATTTACGGAATTCTTCGCTCCTGCCTTAAATTTGTATATTTTTCAAACTTAAAAATGTAAGCGTTATAATGATATAAACATAAACGAAGCTTAAGTTTAATTAAAGTTTCACCCAAGCTTTAATTAAAAATCTTTCCTATATACAAACACAAAATTTATATTTTCCTTTGAGGATATTTAATCAGAATTTAATGCACTTTTTTCCATAAAAATCATTCAAATTAGTAAGTAAAAATATAAATAAAACTTTTCAAAACTAATCTGTAATTTTTAACATAATTTTCTCATTGGAATATTCAGATAAAAGAATCAATAGAATTAAATGTATTCAAATTAGAAATTAAACAACAAACAATTGTAAGAATTTATATTTATCAGATAATATATTCAAGTAAAAATTTACAAACAAAATACTTAGATAAGAACTGATGAAACTCATTTTTATTATTATAAAAATTTTAACTTTTTTTTTTTTTCTTTCTTACTTTACTTCTTCCTCATCCTCCTCCTCCTCCTCTTCTTCTTTATTTTACTTAAAATTCTTTTTTTCTTCAGCCAGCTGCTCTTCTGGAAGAATTAGAGAAAATGGATCCTGAAGACATGGCTTACATCAAGTGAGTTAGATGCATGGTAAATTTGTTATTGTAGGAGTAAATTTAATAAAAGGGGTAAATTTAACACGTTTTATCGTAACTAGATGCGTAATTTTAGTACCCTCTTATCCTCTTTTTTCTTAAATTGATCCCTTCTGTAAACAGTTTCTTCCTATATTGCTGTATAGTNATTTTTTTTTACTTTAACAATTTTAATATTTGAATAAATCAGATAAAAAATGTAAATTGGTTTCATTGATTCAAATAATGGGATTTTTCAACTCTTATCTGTCTAGATATCATTTTTTTTCTCTTTGTCTTTTCTTTATGAGAATTAAAAAGATTCTTCCACTTGAACAAAGTCCTTTCGGATATAAATTTGAATTACTTATTGAGAAAAATCTTACATAATTCTAATTTTTTTTCTTCTTGTTTCTAAAGTAGAAGACATACAATAAACTGAGCTGTGGCTAATAAGGCATACACAAATTATATTGTGGGATTTAGTGAAAAATAAAATACTCTCCTATTAGAAAGCATAAAAATTGCATTCAATTTTAAAATATTAATTCCAGAAAAGTAAATTCTTTCAGGTGAATGAGAAGCGGACAGATAATTACTGAATAAATTTAAAAATAAATATTAAAAAAAAAAAGTAGATAAATTTTATGATACATATTTACTTTTGTCACTTATTGATCTTTATAGTTCATCCCAGGGTCAAGTCAAAATCCTGTTATCCAAGTTTGGAAAGATGCAGTCCTTTGACATCATCCTGCTCCTAACTCCCAAGATAGATCATAAAACAAACATTTCTATCCAATTCGCTGTGAAAAGTCTGGTTGGACAAAAACCAACCTTCTAGAAGAGATAAGCAAGGAAAATAAAGGAAAAAAAGAATATGCTATAGACATGACAACTGGACAAAGAAAAAAATAATAATAAATCCAGAAGGATTACTAAAACGTCAGGGATTGGAGTTAGACAACAAAATGGTGTTTTTGTGTAGATTGATGCAAAATACAAGATACCTTCAAAGAGGACACCGATTTAAAGAGATCTTTGGCAGATTTGAATTGCATTCTAGGAATTTTCTATATGATAATCGAACTCGAACCCGGAACCAATCGATTCCTTGCGACAATGTAAAACGAGTGGACGCTATTGGATAATTTAACAGGTTACACGCGAATCAAATGTAACTCGCCAATTGTGTGTGTGTGTGTATGCTAATGTGGAATATTTATGCGGTGTTTGTACGGGCGGACAATTTAATGCCACTTTCCAGAAGAATAAATTCGTTTAATAAGCGACAAGAGCTTTCCTAAGTATATTAGATAGTAAAATAAGTTAATTTTCGTTTCTAGATAGAAGCGTTTAAATTGGAAAAAAAAAAAATTAATTAAAATTTGTTAAATTAACTAGCATTCATTTACGAAAAAAGAAAGGGGGGAAGAAGAGCTAAAAATCTAATATAGCGAAAGAAGACGGGAAATTTTACTTAGAAAACTTTAACTTTAACACGCTCGAGTTAAACAATTTAAACTCGATTGTATTTACACCAGTGTGAAGCGAGAAAATAAAAATTATAAATTACGAGAATGGATTGACGTTCTCGACACTAGATGGCAGCGCTAGTACGGACGTTTAGTTTAATGCTAATTAACAAAATTTATTTTTTTTTTAAATTTAAATTAAATTAAATTATATTATTAGCGGAGTATAATATAGTTTTATATTTAATTCATTTTATTATCGGAAAACGAATGCGAAAAAGGTAAAAGTAAAGTTTTAGTTTAATTGCCTCCGACAAATCCTAGGATTAGATTCCGTCTGTCGTCCGTAATCCGTAACGAAGTTGTTACAAATGCAACCGAAAGTAAATCTAACTCAATAAGCAACAACAGGTAATTTTTATTTTATTTTTTTTCTCCTTTAAATATTAATTAAAATATTGAGAAANCTTTTTCTTTCTGTCAGTCAAATGTTTATTATCTGACCTCTTCAGGCATTTCTCCTTGCTTATTCCATCTTCAAATATATTATAAAAAAAAAAAGGGAACGTAATTTCAATATGAAACTGCATTGGAAGCTTACTAATATACCTCACCAATAATTCCTCTAATAACATTTTTAAAATAAATTACATTTATTTCCGAGATGTTAAAACCCCAAAAAAGTAATCTTAGAATTAAGAAAAAGTTAGGAAGATTTTCGATTGCGGTATCAATGAAGATAAACGTTTCTACTTGGTAGCAATTTCTTTTTAGATATCCCAAAATAATCCATACCTTCAAAGAGAAACAAATGAAGACAGAAACTGCTTCCAGACAAAGAGAATCTTTCTTTCTTAATTCACAATTTCGTCTCCTCGTTAATCTGTTGTCAGTTGATCCCCGTTCTTAAAAGGATTATCCAAACATCAAAAATTTATAAGAACACTACAGATCGCATTAAACAATAAATTCTATAAGGGAAAAAAAACTCCAGCAATCCTGTTTAATAATGCATTCAAGATGTAGAAAATTAAACAGCATCAAGTTTCCCTTAAAAAAAAATGGAAGAGCATATTTTATTTAGGTTTAAATTTTACTTTTTTTTATATTTTTTTAAGAATTTGTAAACGTATACAATAGGAGATGAGTAAGAGCTTCCTGAACTTTTCTATTCAATTCTAAAAGTGATGTAAGATTATTCAAACAGTTCTTTTCTTTAGTGTTGCTTCGAACTTTATTGCATTATAACAGGCGATAAAGTTAGAATAGAAAAAATTTTAAAATTGGTTTCGGGTTTAGTAAATACAATAAGTATTTTTAAAAACATTTAGAGAATTACAGGAATCTACTCGAAGTAACCCAAATACAATTGGACATTGACCAAATGAAGTATTGAAGTTTCCACATTGATGAAAAGACGAAAGAAAGCATTTATCTTAATATACTGTAGGAAAGCACAAAACTTCTGCTGATTCAGAGCCTTTTACTTTTATTTCAAATCGATTTTTTTACATGTGAGGTAGCAAGCATCTTTTATTTCATTCTCTTTTAGTCCTTCACTCAAATTTTCGATGACAGGATCTTAGAATTCAAAATAGAAACGTCGATTGAATTAGTATTTGAGTGGAGTTTTGGGTTTAATCTGTTTTTTCTTCATCTTTCTTTTCTCTCTTATTTTTTTTCTTTGTAAGATCTCTCTTCATATTTGAATAATTGTTTTATTTTTTCCTATAGAAGATCCAAAAAAACACCTGAGATATTTATGGGAGAGATATTTTGATGAAAATTGATGTTAGAAATGGGTTTTATCCTCTTATCTTGAATATCTTTACCGCGCTATTACTAGATTTAAATTACAGACAACAACTCAGAATGGATAAAATACGAAGAATACACACAATTCCATTTATATATTTAATTTCTTTACATATAAGTATTATGGGAATTAATGCGAAGTAGCTAGTCAAAGATTGCCTTACCTGACGTGCATACGTGTAGTAATTACTACTTGATTTGCATCACACTATGCTGCACGTCAAGCAAATTATCCATTTACTAATTTGTTACGTTTAAGTAAACGATGTACAAACACGTCATCCCAAAAACTGGTTTAAATTGGATATTTAGATACGTTCCTACATCAGTGTTTGGATGTTAATAAGCATCTGTTCCGTTCGTCGGTCGTCGGTCAGTCTGTTTGCACTTTGAATAAATTTGTTGCCCGTTATCGATTTAATTTACCCGTTTGTTTTTAGATTTTTAATCTGTGATTAATCCCGTAATCGATTTCTTTTTCTATCGATTTAAGAAATCGATTTATATATAATTGTAATCTGTGATTAATTTCCGAAATCGATTTCTATTTTTATCGATTTTTAGATAATTGTAATACGCGATTAATCTCGAAATCGATTTTTATTTCGCTTACAATGCAATCGATTATTTTGAATAATCGATATAGATTTTTATGATTGATTCGGAATTTTTATTATTAAAAAATTAAATAAATTTTCAGAATTTTTTTTATTACAAAAAATTTTTACGAAAAAGATTTTATTAGTAATTTTATATATATAAAGTAGTATTCAGTATAAATTGCCTTATTATACTAAGCATGATGAGGACTTTTTTTTAATTGGCTATAATTTAAATATTTTTGAATATATTTTCTTGGCCAATTAGATTAAATAGGGGTTACGTCATTCAAAGGAATTTGTCTATTTTGCATTATCCACCGCGTGTACCTGACACTCGTTAAATTTTATTCTAAATTATGAAATAGGAATTATTAAACTAGAAATTGAATCGAAATATTAATTATACTCAATTTATTCAATCGAAAATTAATTATAATTTTGTTTGTGTCTTCTCCATCTATGCGGGGGTTGATCATAAATTTCCACTGTTTTCTGCCTCTCAGGAACCAGAATATTCAGGAATTGAGTTCAATTTTGGCTTTTCTCTACTCCTTTACCCTTTGACTATTCTCTCGAGTAGTGATTTTAGTTTAATAAATGCTAATTTATCACCTGAATTTTTACTTTTCTACTTCTGTTATATATAACAGAGGGAAAGTATGGAGATCGGTCAAAAAATGACCCCCCCAATTTTTACATTTTTGGGCTCGGGACTTTGAAACGTCGACTAATCCCGATTATTTGATTCGTTCTGCATCTAAAATTCCATAGAAATTGCATACAATTAACGAGCAAAATTCAGTTTTTGGATCGATCTAAATACGTGGCAAAATCGATTTCTTGTAACAGAATTGGAATCGATTTTTCAAATTCGTTTCGCGAATAAAATTATTATGAAAAAGAAAGTCGATTAGCGGTGATTTATAATCGATTATTAACGTATATAATTTATTATTAACGATTAAACGATCGAACGTTTATTATTATTTCAGAGAGAATTAGAAATTTGGATTAATTTTAGCAAATGAAATCGATTCGGTAGAATTATTTTTAGATTATAATTGTTTATAAAATCGATTTTCGATTAAAAATGTTCATTTCAAACACTCGATATATCGATTTTCTATTTAATTAAGGGTAAAGGATTGATTTCTGCCAGAATTATTTATCAGAAATCGATGAATTTTTAACGAAAAGCGAAATGATTCATTTAAAAGATTAATGTAATAAGAACGACAAGAAAGAAAGTCTTCTAAAGAATCACTTTTATTGTAAACACAACTTTCATAATTTAGTTACGTGGAAGGAGGAGAAAGGGTAATTGAACTAACTTAACTTATTCTAACCCAAAAGAAAATAAAAGGTTAGTTCCTTAAAATAAATTAAGTAATTAGTTCGATGAAATGGTCAACATTTTTGAATTGGATTCGTTTAAGTCTTGTTTATCCCTCTTATCATTAAGCTATTGTCTGCTATTTTTCTCATCCTCTTTTTTTTCATCTCTTGTCCATTTTTCTTTTTATTTTCGGCAAGAAAAGACACTTTTTCTTCCCTATTTTCCCCCATTTTCCCTATTTTTTTTATAGCTCGTACACATCCTTTATTTTAAAGATATTTAGTTCTGGATTTTTGCTATCTTCTTTCGAAATGAATAAGATTTATTTTTTACTTTTTATTTTATTTTATTTATTTCTGACTCTTCAAATAGTAAATCTTGTAAATCCTCATTCAATTTTATTCCTTTTTTTTTAAGATACGGAAACAATTTATAGTCGAAAGTTACATCGTTAATAATGAATGATTTTAATATTGTTAAATATTAAAAAAAATAAAATAAAAATTTCTAGAATCGAGAATAAATCTACATTTAAATTAATAATATTCAGCATTAATATTCAATTTTATATTTATAAAATATTTTTTAGTACATACAAAAAAATAATAATATTATTATTGATGATGATAATTTTAACCAGCTGCAAACCGAATTTTTCTACTTTATTTTTTATAAACAAATTATAATTTTATTGCTTATTAATTTTATAAAAAAATAAAACATTTTTATGTTAAAATAAATAAATGGCTTCGGTAAGATGCCTAAAATTAACTCGCTAAACCCTTTAATAGCGAATAAACTTAATAATATTCTCACTACAAATAAATACACTAAAGCGAAATATTTACGAGAGCGTCAGTTTGTCTGTCTGTTTTATTACTGCTTATAGGAGGTTAAGATAGATAGATAATAATCTGAACTCGTGTCCAGAAGAAGTAGGGGAGGAAAAAAAAAACATCTTTGGGCCACCTGCGACTCGAACAGGTCGAAGTCATCCATCTCTTCGATAGATATACTTGTCTAACATGATAAAAAGACCTGACAAATGTCTCGAGAATTTTATTGTTTTTATAGCATCATTTGTATGACGTATTAACGAACTAATAGAAAAAAATAAAATTAAAAAAATGGCTTATTTTAAATAATTAAATTGATAATCTTATTTCGGTACGTATTTTCGTAAATAGTCATACAAACACATTATTTTCGAAACTGAAAATCTCTTGACGAAAAAAAGGATTATCTGTGGAAATTTTTTTTTACTATAAATCCAATGAAATTAAGGATTACTCCTTAATCTTTTTTTAGGAACAGCAATTTACTTTAGGTTTTTTCTATTCCTTTAAAGGTTGTTTCCTTTACAGACAGAGGTATTAAGAAAGGATGTCAATTTAATGTTACTAAACTGTTGTGGCTACCTAGTAAATTCTATTCTTTTAAGATAAACTTTCTTACGTTTCTATTCTTAAAAGACACTTTAAAAAATCTTTAGGTTTTATTATTTTATTTTATTTTTATTTTTTTTTAAGGTACATCACACAATTCGATTGCTTTTGAATTCTTTATAGATTCTGTTTTCTAAATTTTCCCCTTCTTCAAAAATGAAGCTTGGTTGGTTGATTGATTTATCCGTTAATGCAGTATATTCTTTCTTGCATTTTTAAACTTCCTTAAAAATTCACCAATTCTCTTTTTATTTTTTTATTTTTTCTAGACTTTACTTTAACCATCCAAAGAGACATTCTTTCACTCTTTTATTCCAAAAAGTCATTTTTACCTTCCTCGCTAGCCATTTAGGATTATTGAGAGATTCTGCATCGAATGATACCAAAAATATTCTTAAGGAAGAAAAATATGCAAAGTTTAACTTTTATCACAAATCTAATATCTAAAATTAGCATAAACATAAAAGAAAAAAGGACAGCTCAAAGAACTACAAGCTCTCTCTCATCTCTCTCTTTTCTCTTTCAAACTATCGACTTCCACACAACGACATCCGACTCCATATTAATTAAGTTCGATATAAATCAAACGTTAAACTTTTAATTACTATTCTCAATTAAAGATTTGGGTTAATTACTGATTACTTAAATTATTTTAACTATTTTTATCAAATTAAAATCTCTCTCTCTTCTCCATTCTCTTAACTCGTCCCAGCAATCTCTCCTGTTAATTCAGTGTTTTAATAAACATCTCTTGTATATAGAATAAATTTAAACTTATAATAACTTATATATTAATAAAATTTTTTTTAATAATATTCCTACGAATTTATCGAAGGAGAAGAGTAATTCAATCGAAAACTGTGTTGTCTACGTAAAGCGGTGGAAGAATAACGCATTATTTATTAAGGTTATTTTATTTTATGTAAATGATAGCGAAATGGATTTTAAAATGTCAATGGTTCCTTCAGAATTTTCTTGACTTCCTATCCTGTTACTATAGCAACCGGTTGATTTGGTTTTCTTGACGTCACGTGACTCGCAGGTTCAATTTCAGGGAAGACTGAATACTGTGATGGCTTATTGTGAAGAAGACAAGACCAGGTTTATTTCCGCTTTCCTGTCGTCCTTCTTGTCACATATGTTGGATATTGTTTAATTGTCTTGTTTATTTGTTTATATATTATTCGAATTTGTTTCCTAAATTGACTTAATGCCAATTTATTAACTTTAATTTAATGTTTTCTCACTGATTTATCTACATTTACAATGAAATTCTTATAAAATTTCCTAGCAATTCTAGTCACGTTCGTTTCTTTTTCCTTTTGTAAATATGTTTCTAAAGAAATATCGGAAACCGATAGAAGTTAAAGAAACCTTTATTTTATTTTATATATTTTTTTTTTATAAACTTCTTATTATTTTACTTTTTCATTTTAAATATTTTAACGTCCTTTTATTTAGAAACTCCATTATTAAGAATTAACTACTCTCTCGATTTCCATCCGGATGATACGTTTTAAACATTAAAAGTCATGTGACTGTTATTTAAAGATAGGAAGCCGTGTATTCTCCTACAGGACCATTGTTTCTCCTTCAACTATTCCCTGGGGATGTTGAAAGTTAAGCGCTCCTTTTGGATTACTGTATTTAGAAAAGTACTATAGTTTGTCAGTTGGCTAACACGATTCTCTCCTCAGTTCGGTAACGAGACTCCGCGCCTGGGGACAGTCACCATGCCCAACTCTACTTTCTTTTTTACTAAATTCCCTTAAGGACTGCTGAAGTTGACACCCAAATGAAGATGCGAATATCTCCTTGGAGGTTGTACTTCCCCCCTCTTCCCTTTGACAGGTGGTTTTGTTTGTTTATAAAATAGCCAGCGTGGGGAAAAGTTGAGGAAAAAATGGCGTGTTTTCACAGTATTTTCTTCCAAGTTATTTATCTTACCGTCTTAACGGCCTGACATTACAAATTTTAAGAAAATACAGAAAACTTCTGGAGGAATGGGAAGAATTAGATGAAGATAAATTTCTGGAGAATGCAGAAAAACGCTATTTATTATTTAAAAAAAAAATACTTTTATCAATCCATAAAACACTTTTACTCGGATTATTTTTTTTTTTGTATAAGCATCGATTCTTACTTAGCTAAATCTCACTAAAGACATTTATCCTCGAATAAAAATAGAAAAAGAAAAAGTAATCTTTCATCAAACTTGATTCACTCTTAACTATACACTAACCATTAAGTAGAGAGATTCTACCCAATTTTTACTTTCCTGGTTGTTATATATAACAGAGGAAAGATATGGCGATCGGTCAAAAAATGATACCCCCAAGATTTTTATATTTTTGGATTCGAGGGACATTGAAAAGTTGAGAAAAGCAAAAACATTTGGGGATTTTTCTGTATGTATGGATGTGTGAGGGAGACAGGATTTTGTTCATCCCCTTTGGAGCTTAATAACTCCTGTACCTTTCGTCTAAAATTTTTGAAATTTCGCAGGAAGGTTTGTTTATTACGTGTATTGATGCTATTAAATTTTGGTGGTTAAAGGTCTAGGGGGTGGAGAGATAATGGGGATCGCGTATATCTCCAGTAGGGTCTGACTTAATGACGATTTTCCTCGTTATTAGCATTTATAATTTTTTATAAAACCCATCCCTACCATAAAAATTAAGCTTTATAACATTTTATAATAATTAAAAATATAAAAAGTTTTTTAATAAAATATCGTAACAGATGGCACCACCAAATGTTGCCGGGAAAGTTACGCAACTCGTTGCTTGATTGTATTAAACTAATAAATAATTAAATAACCAAAACGAATTTAAGTATTTAAATTATCTTTTAAGACTTTTATAAGTTGTTATGTTAAAAAAAAAATAATTTAAGAGTTTGATTTGATTTTATTTTTTTAAAGCATAAACTTGTATTTTTGGAAGTTTAATAAAATGACATTCTGGATCTTCTATGCTTTTTTCTCCTTTAGTTTTTTCGTTTTTTTAACAAGAAAAATCAATTATTTTTGTTTTTGCCTTGTAGTTTTTTCCAAAGCGGATCATTTATATAAAGCTCAGTTTGTTTTTTTATTATATATTTTTTTTATAAACTTCTTATTATTTTACTTTTTCATTTTAAATATTTTAACGTCCTTTTATTTAGAAACTCCATTATTAAGAATTAACTACTCTCTCGATTTCCATCCGGATGATACGTTTTAAACATTAAAAGTCATGTGACTGTTATTTAAAGATAGGAAGCCGTGTATTCTCCTACAGGACCATTGTTTCTCCTTCAACTATTCCCTGGGGATGTTGAAAGTTAAGCGCTCCTTTTGGATTACTGTATTTAGAAAAGTACTATAGTTTGTCAGTTGGCTAACACGATTCTCTCCTCAGTTCGGTAACGAGACTCCGCGCCTGGGGACAGTCACCATGCCCAACTCTACTTTCTTTTTTACTAAATTCCCTTAAGGACTGCTGAAGTTGACACCCAAATGAAGATGCGAATATCTCCTTGGAGGTTGTACTTCCCCCCTCTTCCCTTTGACAGGTGGTTTTGTTTGTTTATAAAATAGCCAGCGTGGGGAAAAGTTGAGGAAAAAATGGCGTGTTTTCACAGTATTTTNAAAAAAAAAAAATAATAATGGAGAACCACTACTCACATTGAAATGTCACTCTTTGATGGGTTTATATGGTCCCATTAGTTTCGTCAGTCACGTGACACGGTTACCGTGGCAACGGCGAGTGTGAACCAACTGGAAAATTAATTACTCAATAAAATAGAACGTATAACTTCAATTAAGAGCGCCTCTTCCACCTTTCATCTCTTAACGCCGGCTCGCTCTCTATTCTCACTAATAAAACCATTAAAAAAAATTAAATCACTTATTATTCATGCATACATTAAAATATAATTTATAAAAGTATATAAATATACCTAAGGAGGTAGAAAATCCTCTTTATCTTCTATTCATTTAACCACGCTCTTCTCTTACAGTTGTTCTTTCTGATGACGTAAAAATTTATTATTATTTTTTAAAGTTTTTGTTTTATTTTTTAAACTTTTTTTTTCTTTTTCTTTTTTCTTTCCTAAGATTGCTAGTTGTGACAGCGAACTTCTTTGGTAATTTATCTTTAGAGGAATGAACGGTAATGAGGTAGAAAGTGAACCAATTGGTTGCAAAAGCGGTGCAATATCTTTGAAAGTATCTTCCATTTTCTACGTTTTCTCTCAGGCAATCTACATATTTCAGTGGAGATTTTGAAATCCTGAATAGACATCCAAGGCAATGTCGTACATCATCGATACTCTGACCTCGATATTTCTTCTTGTATAGGTACATATACATATATGTACTAGATAGATACAAGCATTTTTTTTATTTTTTATTTTTTCCCCTGAAAAATTTTACTTTTATCGACGAAATGGGTTTGTTTTTAAAATATGTTAAATCAGTTTCTTGACTTTCCAATGGCCAATCTCATAAATATTGCCTGCTTCGAAAAATTATAAGTAAATTTTCATTTTTATCCATTTCTTTATCAGTACTTATTTTTGAAGTTTCCTCTACATTAATGCATATTAATGAATTTTATTAAGGTTATTTACATAATTAATAACGATATCCAGTTAAAAATATCCTTCAATATATGTTTGAAGACTTATATAATCGTTTCAGATCTTTTAACGATAATTTTTGTGCATTTTGATGAGAAAATACGCAATAATTATGAATTTTTTGTTGATTTTTTAATTCTTTATTTTATTATATATAAATAATATAAACTTTTAATACGTTTATTTGCATAATTAACTTTAAAACATTGCTAAAAGTACTTATTTACGTTACCTGCAATTGCTTTTATCCACTTATAAGCAAAGATTTTACAGACTGTTAATGGATAATAAGAAAAATGAATAACTTTATTCTAAAAATATTCATTCTGGCCTATATAAAAATGAATATTAATGAATTTTTTAAGCAAACACTGCCTCAAAATATGCTTATTTGTGAGCCAATATAGACCTCTATCTGTTCAATGTAGCCCATTTCAAGCTGTAAGGAGGTGATTCCACACATTTTAATTAGGGAACAGTAAGTATATCTATAGATTATTCAATTATAAATTTAATTTATTACAGTGTTTAATGCAATAGCCTTCATTATATAATTCCTGGCTTGAGTGAAATTTCTCCTATTAATTATTCATTCCCATAAATGTCTCGCACACACACACAAATAGTAGAAGGAGTTTAGGAAGCTACCTCTTCGTGCTATTGGTTAGAAACAAGAAATCTTAACGACTCTCAACATACCTTCGACTCTCCATGTCGTTAAATCTGCAGGTAATGACTATCTCTCCTAACTATCGAACAAACGGATTATCGAACGTATTTAAGAGTTCCCCAATTTAATACATCCTTTCTAATTAAAAAAAAAAAAAGAAGAGGATAACAAGAAGAATCGAAGCAATATATTTTAATTTTTAATTAAGAGATTTTAATTGTATATATTTCTATTCGCAAAAAATCGAATAATATTGAAATAGTGATAGATTATATCAAAGTCAACTGCTGAATAATGTAATTTTCTTGTCATATTCGTTAAAATAAACTCCTCAAAATGTCAAGCTTGAAAGAAAAAAACGAAAAGAATGTGTGCAGTGAAGCTACATTTACAGGCGTTGTAGATCTCTAGAAGTCATTTATTTATCAAAGAAATTATTCAAGTAAATTTCTGTAAACAAATAAGATTTAGAAGAAAAGAAAAGGGAAAAAAATAACACGAGCATAACGATTATGTGTCAGAAACTTTCTAACTTAAAATACATTTAATCGATTCTCAAATGATTAATAAAATTGTCAGTCTTAACTTATAAAAAAAACAAACAAGAAAAAATATACAAGAAAACAGCTTAATTAATTCCTCTATTATTTTTTTTAAAAAAATCGTTTTCCAATAATAAAATTTTAATTAATTCGCTAAACTAAATTTTATTATATAATCCTTAAAATCCGACTCGCCTACACCCCTCCTCCTTTTCGTTTATCATTAAATATATGGTTTAAATTATCGAGTTTGGAAAAAATTGTTCGCATTCTAGTAACCATGGCAACTTATATACGTCATCAATCCTTAGGAATTTAGTGTATTAAATTTAAATGCACAGATTTCTAGTTTAACTTCTCCTTGAGGTAGGAAAAAAAGTTATATTTACAGAAGTAGATAAATAAAATGCCAAATTCTAATAAATTATAAATCTGTTTCCAGTTTATAAACATAATTCTTCAAGTGTTTAAGCGTGAGAAGTGTTTCATTTCTATAAATAAATTATAATACGTATATTTTTATTTATTTATAAATATATATATTCACTATATAAATATATATTTGCACCACATTTTATATAAAATATAAATTTTTATATAAATATATATAATTTTAGAAAATATATATTTCACTATTTTCTATATTTAATGGAAAAAATTTTTTACTTTTCAAATAGAAAAGGAAAGTTTATTTTTTTTCCTTTATGCTGAATTTATTTTTCTTATTTTTTTAAAGGAGAAAAAAAAATATTAACTTTTGTTAGATCTCTTCTTGATCCTATTTTATACAAAGGTGCATTGAAATTTATAGAATAACAATGTATAATTTTGCTTAAAGTTTCAATTTACATATATTCTATACACAAATAATGGAGTAAAATGTATTTTAAATAAAAAATGATGATGATAAAAATCAAACGAAAGGAATATTCTTCTATGTATTCCTTCTCCATACAAATATTTCAAATATTTTTATATATATTTCCACTATTCTAAATTCCGTTTTATTCAACATTTTCTTCCAAATATTCCAATCAAAGAAGTTCTGTTATATTTCTTAGTTATCGTACCAACCAAGTGGATTATATAGATCGAGAGATATGAAGGCATCTGAGATTTCTCATACTTCTCCTTCGGAAATCTTTTTCTTTCTGTCAGTCAAATGTTTATTATCTGACCTCTTCAGGCATTTCTCCTTGCTTATTCCATCTTCAAATATATTATAAAAAAAAAAAGGGAACGTAATTTCAATATGAAACTGCATTGGAAGCTTACTAATATACCTCACCAATAATTCCTCTAATAACATTTTTAAAATAAATTACATTTATTTCCGAGATGTTAAAACCCCAAAAAAGTAATCTTAGAATTAAGAAAAAGTTAGGAAGATTTTCGATTGCGGTATCAATGAAGATAAACGTTTCTACTTGGTAGCAATTTCTTTTTAGATATCCCAAAATAATCCATACCTTCAAAGAGAAACAAATGAAGACAGAAACTGCTTCCAGACAAAGAGAATCTTTCTTTCTTAATTCACAATTTCGTCTCCTCGTTAATCTGTTGTCAGTTGATCCCCGTTCTTAAAAGGATTATCCAAACATCAAAAATTTATAAGAACACTACAGATCGCATTAAACAATAAATTCTATAAGGGAAAAAAAACTCCAGCAATCCTGTTTAATAATGCATTCAAGATGTAGAAAATTAAACAGCATCAAGTTTCCCTTAAAAAAAAATGGAAGAGCATATTTTATTTAGGTTTAAATTTTACTTTTTTTTATATTTTTTTAAGAATTTGTAAACGTATACAATAGGAGATGAGTAAGAGCTTCCTGAACTTTTCTATTCAATTCTAAAAGTGATGTAAGATTATTCAAACAGTTCTTTTCTTTAGTGTTGCTTCGAACTTTATTGCATTATAACAGGCGATAAAGTTAGAATAGAAAAAATTTTAAAATTGGTTTCGGGTTTAGTAAATACAATAAGTATTTTTAAAAACATTTAGAGAATTACAGGAATCTACTCGAAGTAACCCAAATACAATTGGACATTGACCAAATGAAGTATTGAAGTTTCCACATTGATGAAAAGACGAAAGAAAGCATTTATCTTAATATACTGTAGGAAAGCACAAAACTTCTGCTGATTCAGAGCCTTTTACTTTTATTTCAAATCGATTTTTTTACATGTGAGGTAGCAAGCATCTTTTATTTCATTCTCTTTTAGTCCTTCACTCAAATTTTCGATGACAGGATCTTAGAATTCAAAATAGAAACGTCGATTGAATTAGTATTTGAGTGGAGTTTTGGGTTTAATCTGTTTTTTCTTCATCTTTCTTTTCTCTCTTATTTTTTTTCTTTGTAAGATCTCTCTTCATATTTGAATAATTGTTTTATTTTTTCCTATAGAAGATCCAAAAAAACACCTGAGATATTTATGGGAGAGATATTTTGATGAAAATTGATGTTAGAAATGGGTTTTATCCTCTTATCTTGAATATCTTTACCGCGCTATTACTAGATTTAAATTACAGACAACAACTCAGAATGGATAAAATACGAAGAATACACACAATTCCATTTATATATTTAATTTCTTTACATATAAGTTAGATTTTTTTCTAATTTTTTAACATTTTTTTAAAAAAAACCTAAACATATAGATGTAATTGCTTGGACGAATACAAACTATAAAAGAAAATCTTAACTACGTGTCTAGTAAACAATCCGAAATTTTGATTTCTTTTAAAGTGGAAAAAAAACCACATGCGGGAATGTATAAAGAATAAGAAGAATCTCCACTTTCCCTACCTGTCTGTAAGGATTATGTGGGGTTATAAAGGAGGAAAAAAAGCTGGAAAGAAAAAGAATTTTTGTCTTTTCTTAGATCGAAAGAGATGCCATCCATCAATGTCACATCCACAGAAGAATTTGACAAACCTAGACAGGATTGTCATCGTCTATTTTATCAGAACAGGTTTAGTTAGAAAGGAATCCAAAAATCAGTTTGACCAAATTTATCCATTTTAAAAAATGTCTCCGGAGTTAGATTTGAAACGTTTAGAAAAAAGTTTTAAAAACAAAACCTATCCTTTTTTGTGGTGAATTGGATGTTGTCGAACTTATTTTTATTTTTTATTTCGAAATTATTCCCTATGTTACATCCACATCCTAATAATCGGGTTGTCCTTTAGAAAAATATGTTGAAATTTTTTTATTAGAAATAAAAATTTTAACCAATCAGCAAAACTAAAATTGTATTCGAATTAATTCTTGACTAATAAACCAATAAATTTATTTAAAAATCTTTCGTATTAATAATTTTAAATTTAATTGGTCGTCGGAAGTTTTGTTAACGCCCCCTTTTAACACGAAAATAACATTTAAACCAATCTAAGTTGTTTCGATATCTTCGACCAATCATCGAAGAGCTGTGGGCGGATTAAAAGAAAAAAAAATATATCAATTCTTTGAACTGATTGGTTATTTCACGAGAAATATTTTTCCTTTGATAGAAAGTTTTAGATAACCGCTCGCTGGTTCTCAATACATAAAAGATGGCAAATTTTCAACACTAAAGGGAGGATTTTTTTCTGCTTTTTTATTTCTTCTCGTAAGAAAGAAAGTCTTATCTAAAGACATGTTATCTTATCTTCTATATATGAAAAGGTAGATTTAAGCTAATGGGAGGCGCTTAATGATGTTGAGCCAATAATAGTGCCAAATTAGAAATTTATCCTCTAACCAAACTGTTAAGTCTATAATTTGAGAGCTGACAGATATGAAATGATGTAGCATCTGGATGAGATTGCACATCACAGACATTCTCCGCCCAATTTCCGGTTGTAAATTTTAGTAGTTATCCAATTCGGAGTCGTTCCATTTACGTAATATGAGTAGATCTAAACGTAGAAGCTAAATTTTATTTGCTTATAAGGATATTTATGAGCCGCATTCTTTCGTGAACCGGACAGGACTGCGATGGAACGTTGATCCCAATCGATTCTCTATGCTTGGTTAGAGCGGGCATAGAAAGATGACGTAAGTGATGACAGGACAGTCTGATAAACCACATCTCGCTGTTTCACGCTTGATTCGCGTCCAATTTTATTTCTAGACCGTCCTTATACAATCTGGGATCAATAGAAGTAAGAAATACAGTAGCAATAAATAAAGGAAGAGTGAGAATAATTCTTTAACATGCCCTAGATAATATTAGAGGATATAGTTCAAAGGTCATACTTCAGTTAGCCTTTGGACGATGATGAACAATGTCTTATCGTGTCCGATAATGTCCTGTCTGTTCTAAGTATGATCCATTTGTTGGAGCTTTCTCCCTAATACGTCTGGGGATGTTAGTTGTGATATATGGTATAAAATGTACACTTTGAACGCATTCCAATATTTTCTACTAGCCATATTTCTTTATATAATAAAAATATGATAGAATTATCATCGGGTATATGTTGCGTAATTTGAAAATTAATGGAGAAATTTTGACGCATAATTTGATAGAAGATAGCCTGCTCATAATCTGCATTGTCATTATTTATCCAAGTTATTAAGGTAAATAAACACGTTAAACTAATTTATGCTTTATTTTGGATGGAGTTTGCAGAGAATAACGACGTTTGCATTTATAATAAACTTATTTTTAACATTTAAATACGGACAGTCGAAAAATAGTTAAAAATTTAAACAAACTTCCATTCCAAATACCGTATTTCACTTTAACGGAAAATCAATTAAACTTTCTTTTTTTTTATAAAATAAATTTTTTAATAATTAAATAGTTTTACTCCATTTTGTAAATATGAAAAATGTTCTATATATTTTGCGTTATTTGTTTAATAAATAATAAATCAAATGAAATTTAATAAAATTGTAAACTTAATGTATTTATGAAATAAAACTTTGATAAAGAGAGTAAAAATCTAAAATGGATAAGAATTTTTCTTGGAAGAAATTCGCTAGACATGAAACAATTTACTATACTTGAAATAAAACAGCAAATGGCATAGACTAAATCGATGTTCTTTATCTGAAACGTCGACATACTAAGAAACAAACTGATAACACTACAAAGTTAATCTTTCTCACAACATTCGGAGTGCTTATAGAAGATCTGTAATAAATATCATTTCGTAAACACTAATAATTATTAATGCAAACAATTAATTAAGGTAATTCTCATGAAACTTATATCGGAAATAAGTAAATGAATTTGGGAGGGGGAAGGAAAAAAATCGTCAATGAATGATGGTACACGAGAGAGAAGTGATGGTAAGTTAACAGAAAAATAGTGAAAACTAGATCGTATATGAAAGTAGCGATAAATTACAGTATAAGAATGGCTCGGCATTTTAAAGAGAACAATTCATTTGCCATATTGTTACAAATTTCAAGATAAATTAAGAAACGAATAATACTGTATACGAATAGGCAGTTAGAAGAGCCCGAAGCTCTTTCTCTCGAATTTTATTTTACTCATGCTTTGTTGAATTTAATAAAATTATTAGTTTCTGAAAATTCATTTATGACTTTATTTCATGTATACCAAAGGATATTTTCTCCTACTTTCTTTTATATCTTAAGAAGACAGATTATTAGAGTTGGCTTATATTTCGTACGTAAAAATCAATTCTACGAATTTAATTTCCGATTTAAACAAATTTTCAAATATTTTTAAAAAATAAGAGGAAATAAACAGATTTCTCTTCTTATTTTTATATTAAAAATGATACTGTAGCTTAAGGTTTATACAAAGGTTAGCCTATAAGTTTCATTGTGATTGATACTAATTAAAATTTATTAATATAAATAAAATTAACAGATTTTATAAATGAAAAATTCCTAAAAATTGCATCGATTCGTTTCAATCATTTCATATTAAGAATAAATTTAAATTTCTTGTCATTATATAAAGATTAATACACTATTCTTATGAAATTCGTGTGTTTAATAGTCTTATGGATAGGCCTAACCCAAGTACAAACAGGTCAAGAACATAAACACTGTTTTATTTTCTTGTTTCTTTTGCTCTTGATATTTTTTGTTTTCTTGTCCTCTTGTTCCAGGTTTTTGTTTCTTTGTCGTTCTTGCTCCGGGTTATCGCGTACCAGTTTATCTCTGGTCAATTCGCTAATAGTACTTAAGTAACTGTTCTAGACGATTCTTAATAACATGTTAAACATAATAACAGCTTGATTTTTAGAAGGAAATAATTTAATTTTTTTTCATTCTCTTGATCTTATTTGTAGAAGGATTTATTTATTTATTTTTTTAACTTAAGCTAAAAATATGTTTAATTTACATTTAAAAAAAAGTTTAATAAATTACAAGTTTGTTGAAATATCCAACGTATTAATTGTAAATTAAATAGTTAAATCTCCTCATAAAATAACCTTTTAAATATATAAAAGCATAAACAAATTCTTATTCATTTTAAAGTAATTTATTCAAATTTTTATAACTCAATAAATAAGTAGTTTGAGAATTTTTACACCTGGATGGGTAATATTTTGCGTGATGTTTTTGCGAGAGAAAAACACAATTTTGTAAGAAAATTTTCTTGTAGTCGTTAGTTGGAAGAAGTAGAAATGCTAAGAGAATCCATCAGCGCTTTCAAAAATTACTGTTTTGGAAGATACGTTTATAAAATATGAAAAAGGATAACGGAAGTAGCAATTATTATAAAACATGAATTCAAAATGGAAGATCTTACTTGGGAAATAATAACAGTAATATCCAGCTTGAAAAGTACTCTATACTTGATTGAATTGATTTAACATACGCCCTATACACATAAGTTATATATATTTAAAGGAGCTTACTTTAATCGACGTTTGCATCGATTCTTCCAATAATACAGTCCATATGTTCTAACACGGGAATTTTGTCTTGTCTTTCTGTCTTTCTCTTCTGTAAAGAAATAAATCATTTAAATTTAATTATTGGATTAATATACTCAAAAGAAAAATTGAATTTCTCCAGCAAACTAAATTTTAAATTTCATAAATATTGTAGTAATCTAATTGGATAAGAGTTCTTTGAAATTTGTCACATGATGCTCACTAAAGTCCTAATTGGCATTTAAATTTAATCACGTGTCATATTACGTCCGTCTAATTAGTTGATTTAAATCGGTCCACGTGATACATTGCTTACCGGCAATTGATTAAATTTAAAATTAGCACGAGACTTAAGTTATCTTTTATTGGTTTAATTTAAAATTTTAAATTTATTCAATCGCTATTGGGTAATTCTAATCACGTGAATACTATGGCTTCTTACATTGGCTAGATTTTTTTAAAATTATGAATATTTTATCTTCCTTGTCAATCATAATTTAATTTTTTTATTTATCGTTTAGTAAACTGCTAAATTTAATAAAAAATATTAATTTCAAATAATAAAAAACGCAATTTTATATTAAATACAAAAGAAATTTTGTAAAATAACAGGAATTTATTTATATTTAAAATGTTTACAGTAATTTTTACATTGAAGTAATCGACAGATGGCGTTAGTAGCGTGTTTAATCGCTTTCACTTTTTATTTATTTATTTAATTAATTTATTTTTAATTAAGTAAAAACATTTTCATAATTAAACATAAAGCGTGAAACATTTCGAATAATTAATGAAGATTTAAACGAATTTTTTTAAATTTTAAATTGGCATTAATTTATTTGGACACACACACGCATTTGAAAAACAAAGTAAACGAAATGGAAGGATTTTTATCTAATTATTACTTGTAAATCTTTGAAATTGTTTTTCTTTCACAAGACAGGAAGTTTTAACTTGTCTGTAAATGAGTTCTTCTTACAGAAAATAAGGGAAAAAATAGGACTTCTAACATCGTTATCTCTTCAAACTTACTTCTCTTCAGATGAATTTAGTGTTGTTTGGTAAAGCTTTGCTATCTTCTACCAGATGCTAACATCTATTTATCAAGTTAAAGCGAATGTTTACTGACTTCCATACACATACACAATAATCCACCCCTTACATCACTAAAACGATGCCTTTTCCATAGCAAATATATAGAATATTCTCCATCTTTTAGTAAATTTCATATTTTATTCTAGAATTTGATGCTTTCAGGCGAATCTTTTCAATGTATTTTTTTTATTTTTCTATAAATATAAATATATATATATCTTCGGAATATTCTACATTTCTTATTATCGGTTTTTCTTAAAATATTCATAGCCATGTACCAAAGAAACAAAGTTTTATAGGATATATTGATTGGTAGTAAGCTACAAAATTGATGATAATTTGAAAAATATAAAATTGATTTTGTTTCTGACTGTTTCTTTAAATTTAAATATAGTAGATGATGTAATTAACTATAGTTAAAACTCGATTATTCGTGCTAAACTTAGTTTTGGGAGAGAGTTACGGCACTTTTTTCTATTGCCGTAATGAAGTACATGTACAGTATATACTGTACTGTATTTTACTGTACGTAAGCCTCCATTTCTATACTTTATTCTATTAATGTCTATAAATGCTACACTGTACAGTAAATAAACGGTAATTGTACAATACTTTACGTACACGATTGTATATTAATTGCGGATTGTAATTTTTCCATACTGGTAGGGGGAATTCTATTATCAGTCTACAGTATTTTCGTATCCGTCACGACACCCCGGATAATAGAGTTTCTTCTATATTCGATAATTTATTACAATTTTCGAATCTATAGTGTATAATTTTACATAAAAATGTCTTCAAAGATGTTGTATAAAGAAAAATTTTAATATATTTTTGAGTTCGTATCTTTGGATGTATTACATTCTTACATGCGCCCAAAGGTGATATAAGCTCTTCTAGAAACAACAAAAGTAAGCCCAATGGGCCTATATAAGTGAGAGAACTCGCATCAAAATTCTAAAATAAACTAAACAGAAATTCAGTAAAAAGATTTCAAAACGTAAGCGTGTCATAAACTAATACACGAATCAAAATCTCGAGATAAATCAGTTCTTAAATTCAAGATTGCGACATTATTATCGGTTTTCTCGAAGAACTAAGCAAGCTGTTCGAATTTAAGTTCTAGGAAAAGGGTGTAAGCAATCTTACAGTTGCATTTGATACGCTGTACGCATGGATAACTTAGGTAAGATAACTTTTCAGTTGTATAACGATGCGATGCAACCGATGATTTCTAGAGTTAATAGTCCGTAACGTTCAAAATACGTAAATATATATTTTTTAAAAAATTCGATTCACGTGTAAGCTTAAATTTTGGATTAATTCCAAAATATCTTATCTGTTTCCACAAGTTTCATGATAAATGAAACACTTGTAATCGTTTCGCTATGCTTCCTAGACGATAAGGCAGGGTTGATCGTGTCGTCACGTCACGAACATATAACACGCTACGTGACGACCCGATCCGATCTGAATTTTCTTTATTGATAACGATAATGTTATTCGTCCATATATATAGACTATATTTTATTTATTATTATTATTTTTCCCCTAATTTTTAAACCGAAACATTGCATGGATCCATCATGTTTTGATAGGGCNCTACCTGTCTGTAAGGATTATGTGGGGTTATAAAGGAGGAAAAAAAGCTGGAAAGAAAAAGAATTTTTGTCTTTTCTTAGATCGAAAGAGATGCCATCCATCAATGTCACATCCACAGAAGAATTTGACAAACCTAGACAGGATTGTCATCGTCTATTTTATCAGAACAGGTTTAGTTAGAAAGGAATCCAAAAATCAGTTTGACCAAATTTATCCATTTTAAAAAATGTCTCCGGAGTTAGATTTGAAACGTTTAGAAAAAAGTTTTAAAAACAAAACCTATCCTTTTTTGTGGTGAATTGGATGTTGTCGAACTTATTTTTATTTTTTATTTCGAAATTATTCCCTATGTTACATCCACATCCTAATAATCGGGTTGTCCTTTAGAAAAATATGTTGAAATTTTTTTATTAGAAATAAAAATTTTAAACATTATTTATTTGCACACCTTAAAAATCAACACAAATGGCTTATAGTATTATTTTTAGAGAAGATTTTAATCTACTTAAGTATTTTTTTTAACATTTTTTTTGCTACTTTACTCTCTTCTAGGTAAAATCTCTCCAAGCGTGATGATCGTCTTAATTTGTCGTTCGTGTATACGTGTTTTTCTTCTGTTTAATTAATGAGAGACTACATGATAAGCACACTTTTGCGGTAATTGGATGAATATACAGTAAGTAAACTGAAATATTACTTCAAATTTCGATACGCTGTATTCACATAGTTATATTTTCTACTAGTTCTCTTTAATTTGCAACGCCCTGATTGGAACATTAATTTTTAAATGTTTGAAAAATTATTTTAATTTTGTCAAATTAATGAGCAAACTAATTCGACATTTTTCAAGAAAATAAAAGTTATCCTCTTTCGCAGTGAGGTACCTGTACAGTACAGCAATTCGGATTCATTTTACTATATTTTTGCTCGTTTTTCGTACCTTATATTTTCAATTATCTGCTTTTTTTTCTATAAGTTTTTAAAAATATATTTAATAATCTAATATATAAAAAAAACCTATTTAAAAATTATTTTAAACTTTTTAAAATATTCTTCTTTTTCTGCTATTCTAGACTAGTTTTTTGCCCCCATCAGCATTTTCAGCTATTTTGACTTTTTCTTATTTCCTCTTCTGTAATTCCAATTATCTAAGAGTTTTTTCAGCTTTTGTATTTTTAATTATGTTGAACTTTTCTTTATTCGAGATTTTCAAATATTCTTTTTCTTAAATTTTCTCCAAAATTTTAATTAATTCTTTTATATATAGGCCTATATATATATAAACTTATAAATTTAAATTAAATTATTTTTCCTAAACTTCCTAAATTTTCAATTATGCTTATTCTAAATATTATCCTTTATAATTATAACTCTTTCTTTTTTGATTCAACAGTTTTAATTGCTTTCTTTAATTATTTTATTCTAGAGTTTCCTTTTTTTTTTTCTGGAAATTTTCAACTACTCTCTTTTTTCCTGGATTTTTATTTATTCCAGAACATTTATTTTTATATAATTTTCATTTTCAATTACCTAAATGCTCAAATTTTTTATATTTATAAATTTTATTCTTATATTTTTCTTTTTTTAATTTTCTAAATCCTCTTCTCTCTGTTCTTTCATACACACTTCCTCATTAAATTATCCTAGTCTTGAGCATTGATAAATCAAAGCAAGCAACATAGGCCTATATAAGTTTACACTAAAGTTAAATATAAATTATTTATAAGCCTATGTTTTATTAATATTTAAAACTAGATATAAAGACTTAATGCATATTTATTATTTAATTAAACTATGATTAAAATTTTAAATGTTTAGAGGATATTTCGATCCAATACATTATAAACCAATTTGAAGAAGTAAAAGTTATTGCAATTTCCATGGTATAAGTTATTTTAAGATCAGATTAAAAACAGTTTTAATTATGGTTTTAAATCTTTATTAAAGAATAAATTATAAATTAATAAATTCTTTACGAGAAATAATAATAAAAAATTAAAGAAAATGATTGCATAAAAATAATTTTAAGTGCTTTTTTCTTACTGGAATTTACCAATCAATGATATTTTAACAGCATTTTGGTCAATGACATTTCTCATTTTCATGGAATTTTCGTCTTTGTTGTTGTAGCTGCGTTGGATCACAGAAGATTTTCTGGTGATGCTGCTGTTTTCAAAATAGCTTTTATATATTTTTTAGTATAAAAAATATAAATTACTTGCAGAATTTATAGAATTTATAAGTTTATTAATGTGTTAAAATGAGAAGAAATGACGATCGAAGCTCACTTTACGAAAATTATCTCAATCAAATATTTATAATGAAACAATTCATCAATTCTCGAGTGAGTCACTTTAGAAATTCAACTGGTAACAATGTGACTCTTAGTTCCTTTTTTTATTATTAATTATTTCTGCTTTTGATGTGTAATTTCGATTTAAGAAACGAAAATATTTTTTTCAAGTGGACATCAAACTCATC